TCTTAATAAATATTTTTATTTATTATTTAATTTTGCCAGAGATTTTCCAATCTGTGTATTTGTAAGATGAGAAGGATTTTGAATATTGCAGGTCTACATGTTTAGCTGCTTGGTGGAATTGTGACTTCAACACATTGTCACATGAGTGTTTCAACAAACTTACTTTCCTTCAAAATAGCATAGCAATTGTTCCTTAGTAGCAATGAAAGTATAATATGTAATGATTGTGGAGGGGAGGGTTATTCATTTGTTTTATTTTTTAAATGGAGTAATGCTTGCTTACTTTAACTTTCAGGAAGCACAGGCTTATGCAGATGACAACAGCTTATTGTTCATGGAGACGTCTGCCAAAACATCTATGAACGTAAATGAAATATTCATGGCAATTGGTGAGTTTATGAACAAACTGAGAATTTAAGGGAATTGTTTCCATGAGGTACATACCATCATAATCTTTGTAACCCAATGTCTTTGGGTTTTGGCCTAAATTATTTCTGACACTGAAATCTCCTTAGGCCCCTTCAGATCCTTTTTGATGTTCATAAGTCAGATAAACTTGATTGAAGCACAGTTGCATAGGTGTTCTGTCAAGCACCAAAACACTTGGATTAACTTGGAATAGCTAAGCTAGGTTACTTTTGGATTTTGTCAAAGTTTCATGTACCTGTTTTGATTCCATGATGAAAACTTGTACTGCTTCAGGTTCAAGCAAAATTAAGCTGTAGTTGTTAATATGAAAACACACCTTTTCCATGGTATAAGTAACCTTAAAAAGCTCTACACGTCTTTCCTTAATTGCAAGATGTACTTGGCATTTGTTAATCAAACTTGTGTAAGAATATAAGTGGAAGTGTATAAATGTGCCTTTTGAGGGTATTTTTTTTCCAGCAGATTCCACACTGCCTTAGATGCAGAACCTGGAATAATGTACCTCTTGTGAGACAGTGGTAATTGAAGCTGGAAACATTTCAAAATGGGAGAGTGATAATTTAACAAAAATTTAAAAAATTTAGTCTAAACGTTTACTAAATATGCTTTTGCATTAAAATTTTGTTTAAATTCCAAATGCATCTATCTAAAATCCGGAAGTTGTGCCAGACAAGACAAGTTGCTTGAATTCAATGTCCAAGTATAAGTAAAGGACACTTCATGTGAAAAGTAAACTTACTAATACATTTTTAGCCCTAACGTCATCTTAGGGATTTCTGTAAAGTTGCTAACATGTAGTAGTAAGTACAAATTACTAAGAAATTCAGTGAATTCCACTGATAGGCAGAAAATTGTATTTCATTGTTAAAATTTTGAAAGTGGAGGGAAAAGAAAGCATGCAGTTTAAGACTGGTCACCAACCTGTTTAGTCATCAAGTTAGTCACAGCAGTGGCCCTGAATAGCAAAGTATGGTGTCAAATAACCTTATTAGATCTGGTTTGTATTTTTCACTACAGTGGCATCTCTATCCCACTTTTTGTGAAAAACAGCATTGCTATAAAAGTTAAATTTCTGAAGAGGTCTTATCTGCTTTCCAAGACAGTAAAGCAGAAGGTAATTTGTGGTTCAAAGTTCCAGTGGATGCAAATTAAATTATCACTATAGCAACACTATAAAAGTACTTGCTTCACATTACCTATAAATACTTGGAGGGTAGGGAGGAAACACACAACTATGAGTGGAAAGTCTGTTTTTGTCATAAATGCTCGAGATAGGCCTGCATTTAATGATACAGAAATGCTCAATTACACTCTTCTGGTGGAATTTCAAAATCAATTTCTTTAAAGGTGCAGTTTGCATCTTTTTTTTTAAAAAAAAAGAAAGAAAAAGAAAAAATAATACCCAAAACCTGATAGTTTCTTTTGTAATTTTTTTTATAAACAACATTTCTTACCTATCTAGATTTTAATGAAGTGTACAAAGTAAATTTGAGAAAATGCCTAGTTAGTACCTGGGTGTTTTGCCTGCAAAGTTAATTGTCCGTGTGAATATTCTTTCACATTGATGGGTGAAATTCAGTTTTATGAGTGCATCAGAATGAGATCTGTGCAGCGCTGGACCCTGACAAGAAATCTTGACTCTAATACAAGTATTGCATGGAACTTGGAATGGCCTTTTGCACAACATGGATGCAGTTGTCAGGACCATGTGTAAATATGATCTTCAAAAGTAGGAGAAAATGAAAAATGAGAACATGGACAGAGTTGAGAGATGCAAGCTACAGCTGCTTGTAAAGTGACTGCTTCAGTGCTCACTCAGAACTTCCAGTTTAAAAATTTCATGTTAAGTTACCATTCTAGAATGTATCTAGAATCCAAACCAACAGTGCTCTGAAGGTGTTTTTCTGCTGGTGATTTGTCCCTGGGTACTGCCTCAGCAGCTTAGTGACACATGAACTGCTGGGTTCTGTGACAGAATTGTAGAACAGCCCAAGTTGGAAGGGACCTCAAAAGATCATGTGGCCCAACCTTTTGTGGGAAAGGGAACCTAGATGAGATTAACTGGCACTTTGAGATGATCTAGCACCACAACGTATCTTGTTGATGTGTACTCTGCTGTTTCTCTGGCTGTTATACTTGCATTTCATTTGTTTTAGGAAAAGTTGTTCTTCAAAAAAACTGACCCAAGTAATGACTTTGGAGTCAAAGCGTGCAGCTAAACCGTAGAACGGGGATGACTGTGGGTCCTGGTAACATGGAAAAGACAGCCCCACAGAAGTCCTTTTATGTAGAACTTAGCTTTTTCTCCATCAGGAAACTGCTAGGAGGAGCTACTGCTCAGAAGGGTGACATTTGTCACCCTTACTTTTCGTGTCAGAACCAAGGAGGTACCCTGGAGCTACAAGGGCAACAAAGACATTATCAGAAGTCAATTGACTTGTAAGAGCTGGAGAGAAGAGACAGCTTGGGGGAAAAAAAAAGAGGAGAGACTTGATCTAGTGCTGAGGGCCATTTTATGTGTTGCACGCAAATACTTATTCTAGGTAGATAGCTGGACAGTGGTTTGACCCATTTTTGTCTGTTTTGTGCCTTTTCAATCTTTCTGTATCTTTTAGCACTGACATCTTGATCTTAAAGCCTGTTCTGTGTAGGTGGATTCCCCCAAGAGCCATCATTTACTGGCATAGCATACCTGTGCAAATAAATTTTACTGCTCAAGTTGCTAATTCATTTCACTTTTGAAAATCATAGATAAGGTAGTTAATCATTAGAAGTTAAGTGTCTTAACTTCTTTTATCACCAGTGCACTGAATCAAGTTAGATTTTATAGCGATTATATTGATACAGAGTAATAGTGTTGACTGTGTACTCAAGTGATTTAATCTTAGTACAATCTGGTTTAACTTTTTACTTCTTGTTGATTTTATAGCAAAAAAATTGCCCAAGAATGAGCCACAGAATGCAGGAGCCAACTCTGCCAGAGGAAGAGGAGTAGACCTTACTGAACCCACACAACCACCCAAGAGTCAATGTTGTAGTAACTAAAACATCAATTGCTTTAAACTGTTCTGAATATTCTTCTGCTTCCTAACTGTTAATAACCATGGAATTGGAGTGTTTAACCTGGTCCAGTACAGCTTCCAAACAGCGAAGAGACTTACGATAATAGTCAAGTTCATGATACAGTTTTCTTTTGATCTAAAATTTTAACATGCATGTATCCACCACTGGCTGTAATGTTTCAGCAGTAGAGGAGAGATGGAATCAGAATAAACTTCCTTCAGTTTGAAAGGGTTTCAAAATCGCTTACCATTAGGGGTGTAGAAGAACTACTTTCCATGGACCTAATTGGCCAGTTCCTGTAGCCTCAATACTGATTACTGTTACAATAAATAGAATTGGGACTTTTCGTAATTCTCAATTGTGCTTTAAAACCTTTTTAGAAACAGGGTCTAAAAATTACTTAAACTTATTCACAGTATTGATGCAACCAGTTGTATATGCAGGTATCTACTGTTTAGTTATACATTCCATAGTTTAATAATTTAATTACAAATAATATTTGCATTAACAATTTTAAGAACCCTATGCTTGCAGGAAAGTGCAGTTTTAGTTGGTACACTGTATGTAAATTATATCAACCCAGTTAGTTATCTAAGGGAATTAGTGATAAATCAAGTTTAACTTCATTTCTTACCTATTCAGAGGGTACAGACCAGTAAATTCAACTTTATGACTTAGAATTTTTTTTCATCTACAAACTGTAAGAGCTCTTCAAGTAAAACCACAACAAAGTCAGTGTCTGTGACTTCTTTCTTGGTTTTGGTCATTGCTGGCCATTACAGTTTGTTTTTCCCCTAAGGAAAATAGTGCACTAACGATTTTGTACATCCAACTTGATTTTAAATTTGGATATTAATGTACTGTAAATAGGTACTCTGCATTGTAGTCTACATTTGTTTAATACTTTCTGTAATATTTAAGAGTTGCTTAAAGGTATACAGAATGTACAGTTACTTAAAGCTAACTTTTTTTCCTCTCTAATCAAAGGGGGTTCTAAGTTCTTCCTTTATGGCTAGAGCAGTAATAAATGATGCTCCTCTATCTGTAACATAAGTACTGCTGTCTGTCAGTAATGAACTTTGCAACTTTGTTTTCCAAAGTACATTTTATTTTGATCTGTCCAGTATATTGCACTAATTCTTTTAGTTATTTTCATTATATGAAATCTACCAAGCGTGTCAGAAGAGATGAATTAGTCTATTTAAATGTTGAACTGATAGCAGGAACTTACTCATGCAGATTTTAAATTTGCGGTAATCTGGGTTTAGCAAGGAAAACGACAGTTCACCGGTGTTTAGTTTTATATTGAGGTGCTCAGGTTTGAATAAAGTGGTTTAAAAAAATTTTTTTATTACTTTCTTATTGAGAGTTTCAGAAAGGTTTATTGCATTTGTCCAGTTCCAAACAAGATGTCTGATTTACTGTATGGGTCAGCATTTAAGATGATTACAAGTCAATACATGACACAGCTAAATGCAAGCTTGTACTAGATGTACTGTGATAAACTTTTAAGTGTTGAGGTAATTTGGTATCTTATCACATCCATTTAGAAGTACCATCAAAATAGTAATGTTATCTCTTGAACCTGCAGCTAATGCAGTCTTGACCAGTTGTTCACTAATGTAGCTGGCTGCGTTGTCGTAGAAAGTCTCAGAGGTGACTCTGCCTCTTCCTGCAGTTTGTGGTTCACAATCGGACAGGTATGGTTTTGTGTCCCCTTCAAACTGTGGTTGTGGTTTAGAACCCACTGGTGATACCCTCTTTAGCAGTTCTTGACCAGTGCAGCACGCAGGTTTGTCACAAAATATCTTGGAGTCCTTTTTTTCTGCCAGTTGTGGACCTGAGTCATAAGTAGATAGGTATGCTTTTGTATCTTTTGGGGGCTGTCTCATGTTTGTAGACCCTATTGCCAGTATGTTTTCTTGCAGCTGTTTGTGGGTGCAACTTGGACCTGTCACAGAGAAAGTATCAGTGTCTGTTTCTTCTTGCTCTACAGTCTGTGGTCGTGGCTGAAAACTGCTACATGGATAAACTTTTCTGTTCTCAACCTGTTTCAGTTCTTCAGAGCCACCTTGTGTGCTAGAATCGGACTGTTTTATCTCTCTGTTCTGAGAGATAAAGTCTTTTGAGTCATTTAAGTTGTCTTCAGTGAGAGCCATCAGATACTGACACGTAGAAGTTCCATTTTGTTGAACATGTTCATACATTCTTAAATAATCGGTGAATATTGTTAGAGTTAATGCAAGTACTTCATTGTGATCCAAAACCTCCCAAAGCCCATTAGAAGCTAAGATAAGAAACTGACAGGTGTCATCGATGGGGACAGATATGGTATGAGGTACAGGTATAACAGATCTTTTCAGTACTGGATCTCCGTGATGTCCAAGACCCCTTGTAGTTCGTAGGTATCCCTCTACTAATCCATCTGGTTCGTTAGTGCTGATGTTTCCGCCATTCTGAAGTACACGTTTTCTCTCGCTTGCGTTAGAAGTGCTGTGCTCTTTTGAGAGGCAGTGACTTTTTCCATTTTTACATAAGACTGCATGTGCGTTACCTAAAATTGAAATAAGATAATATTTTGAATTACAGCATACTGATTATTTTTTTTAGATACTGCTTTTACATCAACAGTTAACCTTTTGCTAAGGGCTGGGGAAAAAACTAAGGTCACAGTTCACTTATCTACTGCGACAGGCATGTGTCCATCAATGAATCTGGTTGTATTTTACAGCAAAGTTTTCTGTAGTTTTTTTCCCTTCCCATTATTCAGAAGACTCTTCTGGAACCTTATTCCTCTGACTGCAACTAAACTGTTATGTAGAGTCTTAAGTGACATTTCATTCAGCTTAAAGTGCAGACTGATAGAAATGTTGCACCTTGACTGGTTTTTGAGCAAGAGTGCATATTTCTCTCAAATACTCTTCCCCCCCCCCCCCAGGAGCACATGCTTTCACAATACTGTGGCTGAATGAACCCATCAAGAAGTTTCAGGTTCAGACTATTTTTAGCAGTATAAAATTTCTAGTACCTGAAAAAAATTTGGACATCGTGTAGAATTTACAGTTTACTAACATGATGCCTTAAATCTCTTCCTCAGTTAAGGGACCCAAGGGAGAAAGAGTTCTCACAGTCATTGTGAGAAGTTGAGGACTAACTTTTTTCCTTTAGTAGGAATAGGTACTTGACCTTTCTCTTTCCTGAAATCTGCAGGTGAGAATGAAAAGTGCTAGAAATGGCAACACTGCAGGTGACTAGTCTTGTCAGACTTGAATGCAGAGCGTAAAGGAGAGCAGCTCTGAAACAAAGCGATGTATTGGTTGAGATCCTCTGTGGCTACACTGGGAGAAGACCATTATTTCGTGTTAGGGGAGGTGATTGGTCTGCCTCCATGTGTTGGCATAAGGGCAAAAGTGATGTCTTCCAGAAGGAACTGGAGGGGGCTGGTAGCTTTCCAGACACAAAGCTGGCTGCAGCGTGTTCACCTATATTGTATTTTTAATATCGTCTGGCTAGACTAGGGCGCAGGCCTCTGAACAGTGTTTATAAGTAGGCTCTGCTTGCACAGTAGTTGTATTTCTTGGAAAGTGCTGGCGTTGTCTAGTGTAGGGGACAGCTAAGCATAGTCTGTGTGAAGGCAGATTTCCCTAGAAGGTGATTCAAAATATCAAACTGAAGGATACAACCTTTTATCAATTATAGAATGTAGATGCCTTAAGTTGCGTTGTGTGAATGCTTCCTTGTGCTTGTTCCCTCCTTCCTCTGATTTCCTTGGAGAACTAGAAGATTTTCTAAAATTTCCTTCAAGCCCTGTAAGACCACCAGCTGTAACCGTACAAACACTGGGTTTTGTGTAACAAAAGGCATGATATAACCCATGTGGAACAACTTGACTGCGAGAGAGTAAATCTGGTCACTTTTGGATGCAAGTGTCTTGTCTGCGAACCAGAGACAGGACAAAATAATCGACAAAAACTAGCTGACCTATCAATGTGGGACTAAATGAAGAAGACAAAGCTGGCCAATGCCACCATCTCCTGCCCCTCATATCTGACGATCCTCTTCAGTTGCTTACCTGGTGGTGAAGGAACATGCCTATACTTCTGTAAGAACACATTCCGGGGGAGGGGGGGAAATGAAGTTTTGATGTTGTGAAAATCTTTTTCTTTGATGTGATACATTTGGTGGAAAAATTAAGTGTATTAGACTAAATAAATGTGTATTTAGAAGTGGTTCAAAAATGTGGAATTTAATCATAAAAGGCTTAAAGTATCTCTGATTAACTTCAAGCCTTAACTCATTAGCAGAGCTTGAGTCTACAGTATCTTTAATTGCAGCCAGCATAAAGGGAGGGAAGGATGGGGGCAGGTGACTAGAACCAGCAAACTTAGGTTGAGTGAATTCTCTACCAAATTTTCTTACCTTCATCCTACCTCTTCAGCTCATTGTAATAAAAATGGGGTTTCTTCCCCAATAAGGTGAAAGCAGACACATTTGTTAGCTCTGAAAACATTACAACCTATATGTCAGTTACTCCTGTATTCCATTAAAGATGTGACTGCCTCTCCTGCAGTCACATCTAAACTACCAGTTCTGATACCAGTAATAGCAAAGTAGCTGCAGGAGTGCTTGCTGGAAGGAGGGAAAGTATGGCTACAGCACCAGGCGTTGTCGGGAGAATGGAAGAGAGGAAAGGGAGGGGGTAGACCACAGTTACTTATTTCACTGTCAGTGCATGTTCAAGTTGGTTTAATAGCATTCCTCAGACTGGCAGAGGATTGCAGATTATTGTTATGGGAAAATACTCTTTTCTTTTTTAAATCTGGGATCAGTTTTTCCAAATGTGGAATATGGGTTTGGTTTGGGGTTGGTTTTTTTTATTGCCTCCTGAAGAAATGAAGCCTCAAATGGTTTTTGCTTTCTCTACTGATCTTTCACTCTCTGATTAATTTCAGACAAATTTCATCTGAAGAAATCTTACAAGTTTTGTGAATATACTCATCTGAGGAGGAAAGACTGCCCCCATTGATGGAAAGTTGCAGTGTTAGCAGACTCCTTACTAATGCTAGGGAGTGATAGAAAAGTATTACAGTGCTGGGCACGTGCTCCAAGCAGAGACTGGAAGACATAAGAGAATATGATTGTAGACATTTGAAACTATTCACACAACAGCTCATTTTTTTTATATATAATTCTGCTTATGTACTCCTTCACAAGCAAGATGCATGCTTTCCCATAATCTTACTGCTGTCTTACCTACACAAGACAACTGGTAACAAAAATCACCAAGTGGGGAGATGTAATAAGTGGAGTTGGAGATGTAATAAGTGGAGTTGCTGAGAACTGCAAGAGCTTTGTCTGGTGTTTCCTGCAGCAGGGCTGGGTGGAGAAGGATTAGGAATGTACCAGTGTTTCTGGTAATTAATAACTGATTGTCTGCACTACAGAAAGGCAAAGCAGGGTGGTTCTTCATAAAGAAACAGGGCTGAATAGATTTTCCATAACAACAGTAAATAGCAACAAAGTCCTATTTCAGAAATCAATAATTCAGATGATCCCCACAGATCATGCTTTCAGTTTGCTGGTAGCAAAATGTGGTGTTGCTTGTCAAAAAAACAGGTGAATAAAAAGAATCTCTTAAGCACGTTTCATTGGCACAAGGCATTTATCAGATCTAAAATCAGATATTTATGATTGCCCTAAAATGATGACACCTTAAGCTTCCTCCTGATTAAAAAAATAAATAAAAAATTATCCCTATTACTCACAGAGGTCACTTCTGGATTATGGAATGTTTCTTAACTGTGCTTTTTGCGTTAGTAGATTGAGTTTGTTGCTTTAACTCAAGTATCATATTGAAGGTGCTTTTTAGATAAGCTTAATACTTACTGCTGGGTACCAGTATCAGTTGCAAGGGAATTGACGTGTCTCCTCCACATTGTCAAGTTAAAGCAATTGCAGCTTTTTATCTCAAAATATCTACTGCCAACACATCTCTAGATCAGCTTACTTTATTAGTTCTTTTTCTTGGGCAGAGGAAAGAAAACCACCTAGTGTGGAATGTACATACCTATATTGGCAATGTGCAGTAACCCAGCAGCACCTGTGGCTGTCCCGGCTAATGGACTGAGCGTGCTCTTTTCAAAATGATTTCTTTCTTCCTCGGTGCTGTCTGTCTCTCTGCTGGGGTTTCTTTCCACCAGACAGGTAACAGCTGAACAGCCACTCCAGCGAACTTTGGAAACCTCATTCCTTCCCAGTCGTAAAAGTCTGTCCATTCTCCAAAAGGACTTGGCATATGCTTTGTGAATCCATTCGTAAGTGTTGGTCTTGTTGGTCTCCTCATTGCCTGGTTTATCAGAGAAAATCTTTTCTTTTTCCCTGTAATCTGCCTTGATTACTGTGGCAAAAGAATCTAGAATTTGCTGTTCATCCTTACTCTTTCTGTAGGAGGAATCCATTTGAGCAAGCTGGTCAAGAAATAAAAGTGGAAGCTCTGCTGCAACTGTTTCTGCAGCTGTCACACCATGGGAGCCATCAAGTAGCCCCAGAAAACACGTATCTGACCTGTTTCCGTAGTTGTCAAGCACAATAAATCTGTCTTCCATGTCTCCGTGCCATGTGGAATTTTTATCTTGGCAAATTGATAATGCTTTTATTAAAGAATTATTTACTTTCTTAAAAGTACTAGGATTGTTAATATTGGCAAGTTTGTGATATGATGCAGGAGTGTGATCATCCATAAGGAATTCAAATGAATAATCAATCTTCTGCCTATGTGTCTCAGAATATTTAGGAATCTTGGTCAGTTTTGAAATTAGTTTCTGTCTCTGAGCTAAAAGTGTTTTCTTGTCAGTCTTCGTTTGTGGGCTATCAAAGCCCAGCAAAGTTCGGGCTTTGTGGGTTTTTTATGATAACGAAGGTGGTACAGATGTATTATTTGTTGACGTGCAGAGCAAAAAATTGAGATGTGCTTGGAATCATCATTCTCGGGTGCAATTGTGACCTCCTCCAGCTCATCTTCACCTCTGGAATGTTCAAAATCAGGTGGGCTTGTTTTGTCTTGTGACTTTTCCTCCCATGTCATTCTATAAAGGAGTTGAATATGTTAAGAGTTGTTCGTATTTCAGTATTCTAATATTAGGTAACACTACACTTACTTAAGCCTTGTTCTCACTCTTACAAACTCTGTTGTGTCGTTGTGTACTAACGCATACGTGGTCAAGAAACAGAGAAACTTATGTGAGATTATATAAAAATTGCACCTAATAACTGTTAAAAATTGGTACTACGTGAAACTCAAGAAGTGAAAAGTTTGGAACTACAGAACTGATAACCCAATTTATATTATTCTTGTACCTAGTTGAGGTCCCAGGTGTCTGCTCCTTTTGAGTCAATGCATAGCCCTGTGCCTTCACAGTGTTAGAACTGTACATATGAAGTAGTTCCTCAGCAGCTTTTCTGTATCTGTTAATCACCTTCCAGACACTGTAGTGGAGTGTAATTCCTATTTGCCAAAAAAAAAAAAAGGCATATTTGAGATTAAGATTAAAAAAAATAAATAAATCTGTCAGTCTTTCATAGGACGTATGAACCACAGCCAGAAGCATTGGTGTATTTCTTCAAAGCTCACTTTCATTACCATCAGTTTTAGTTGTGAAGCTTTTAGGAGTCCACTGGAAAAAAATTAAATCTTTTATACCATTGTATTTAGGCACACAGAAGATAAATTACATTTATGTGGACAGTATTCTATTGTTTTTCTTGCTTGCTAGGTTTTGCAATGTTGATGTTCCTTTAATGTAGGATGGATTTTGAATGTGTCAGTTTCTAAATCAAGAAAGCATAATGAAAAACAGAAGTATTATCAAATGAGCCAGGCAGTGTTTGAGCTCTTAGGTCTGTGGGAAACACCCCTGCTCCTTGAGCTGCAAGACCTGCGAGCAGCAGCACGTACCCTCTGTGTTCTCCGGCCATCAGGATGGAAGAGGAGGCAGGATTTGCAACAGAGGTCTCAGAAGAGCAACAAGCCTGAAAATGCGGAATCGAGGCCGGGTACTGCAAGGATGTAGGATCTAATCAGCAGAAGCCTCTCTGTCCCTTCCCCAGCCAAAGCTAATCTCTTCATCCTGTCCCCATGCACATCCTTTCTCCCACTTCAGCTCCCTGCTCCAGTTTCCCTTCTTCTTCAGCCCAGTCTCCTCATTCTTATTCCTCGATGCTGTGTTACCTCCTGAGTGCTGGGACTCTGCACTCCCGCATGCAACGTTCTGTTGAGTATCTGCTTCCAAATGCTGCTGCTACTGCTAGTGATGGGGATATGTGTGTATAGAGAGTGCCTGCAGTCTTCTCCCGTTATTATCAAAGGGAATACTGAGGTCCAGGATAAAACATGAGTCTGTTTTTAGGTCTGGTACCTGGTGCTATAGAGTCAGAGCTGTAGAGTAAGTGCTGGCAAGGCATGCCCTGACAGAGGCCAGCCAGTGCTGTGGGGACTGCCTGAATTCGGCGCCTACACACTGGCATGTCTCCACTCAGCATTGGCAAACTGGTGCTGCTTTTTAAATACTGTAACTTGCTCTGATTTGCATAAATTTACAAGAGTGACAGAATCACTGATGCTATTTCCAAGCCCCAGTTTGAAACCTGACAATCTTAGAGCATCTCTGTAAAATAGTTATGAAGAGTTTTGGTTTAATACAAGCAAAACAATATGTTTTTTCAAATCATATTCTCAGAAACAGCTAAACCGTATTGCCTGGAACTCTTTCAAATTATTCTGCTTCAGGCTTGGAGAATTTCAGTATGAACAGTTAATATCTGGCAGAGTTTTAATGAAAACACGATCACTGTATTGGTAGAAGCACTAATAAATAATTCTGCCTATAATTTGAAATGGGTAAGAAAACAGGTGTATAACATACAGAGGAAATACCAATATTGCTTAAGCAGCAGATGAAATTAAAATTGTTCAAATGGCTGCTGTGTTCTACAAGGTGATGTGCAGCTAAGCCTTACAGCTGCTTGCATAAAATCCTGTCCCCCTAGATCAGCACAGAACATACATGTACAGGCACCATAATAACACAAAATCCTGTCACCAAGTGAGAAGCTCAGTGTGCCAGCCTATGTGTCATCTGTCTACCAAGTATGAAAACAGTGTTTGTTTATATTTAAGTTACTGAAGCTTATTTATTTAGTCTTTAATATTTATGTGTGTATGGGTGAGAAATATCAGATCAAAATGCATATATTATGGAGTTTTATTGTATTCCCTCTTCTGATATTTCTGTCTTTAACTGAAGGCTATTAATCCACCACCAGGCGAAACAGCAGTGGTTTAGCAGCGGTGATGTCCCACGGCATCATTACAAGAGTAGCCTATGGTCATTTCATCCTTCTTCAACCTCATTTGTTTTCTGGGGCGCTCTTTTTAAACTTAATACAGCCACACCTTAAAGCAGCTATTTTGCAACATTTTTCTTCCAGGATTTCATCTGGGAAGTACACTTTCTTCTCATCATTTCTGTTCATCACCTCTGGGTTATATAGGCATTTCCATTATTTGTTTTTCAAGGCATGCCCTTTTTTCCTGTGGTGACAGTTGTTTCACAAAATTCCTTCAACTGTTTGAGAATTATAGGAGTGTTAAAAGGCAAAGCCCCAACCTCCTCCAGCTTCCGTTAATCATGATACAGTTTAAAGAATCAAATGGTTTTGATTAGAGGGAGATTTTAAAGTTTTGTAGTTGATCTCTTCAGCAGAGGTAGATATCACTTAAAAACCCCTTATGACACTATAGTGTACCTTCTTGCAGAGTTAAGCTTGCAGGTGGCTACAGCTCTCAATCTGCTGTAGGACCAGTTCATGGGAAAGTCCATGTCTCCATAAGAGGTAAGCATCAGCCACCTCTAGAAATGCTGCACCACTTTAGTGGGGCAAGATAAGGAGGCACATGATTAAAATAGCAGGGAAAGATAATGCTTGTGCAGATCCCTCTTCCTTTATTCTGCATAGTTTGAATTTCAGACTGGGAGATCGCACAAGCCTTTTCATTGCTGTCATCGTGATGATGCATTCAAGTGTGAGTAAAGTTAGGACTAATATACACAGGAAATCTGGTAAGCTGCTTTTTGTCAGCCTTTTAAATGTGAACCCATTTTACATTTAGTGTATATAAAAGCCCCTTGGATTAGAGACAGGAAATTGAAATCTTTCAACAAAATGTTAGTTTGACCTCAGTAAATTTAATTCATAACAAGCATGCTGTATAGATGTTTCTGTCTTTGTTAAGTGGGTGTGAGTGCTAACATCACAATTTAAGAGCACCAAAACAATCCCACTTTATTACAATGTGTAAATAACCAGGATAGTATAAATAATAACTCATGCAGAACAAGATATGCTACAACTCCTCAGTTGCAAGTGTTTTGCTCACAATTATTAAATGGGCAGACCTGATGTTAATTTTTTTATACTATGCATAAGTGTTTATGTTAATAGCTGAAAACCTTATGAAAATTAAATAAGGAAACACTTCCTTTGTTGATCTCTTATGAAGTAAAAAGATGAATCTCTGTTTCCTTCTCTCCTTGCATTTCCCTCATCAGGAACAGATACAGACTCGCAAGTTTTTTGCTGTCAGGTTAAAGAATAACAGTGAGATACTGACAGCATAATACATGAAGCTAAAGTGCTCGCGGCCTCAGAGACTGAAAGATAGAATTCAGCTTTCTAGCTCATTGCAGTTTCCCTGTGCCTATTTAGGGAGCCAAAACCCAGCACTGTTTAATGTTCTGAGCTGAAAATAGAAGCAAGTTTAAAAAAAAAAATAGATGTAGAAGAAAGGGGAGTGAACCACAGTTTGAGACTGTATGTATTTTCAGGGGCAAAAATCATGTTGACCGTTTGTGTTACGTCGAAGAGCCTTCTGGTCAGTGCTTAGTCCTGCTACTAGGAAAGGGAGGCTGCTTCACCTCTTTACCATACGCTGCCCTGTCTGTGAGAAGGGTAAAACTGAGGCAGAGAATGAGACTGCAGGCCAGGAGTTCGTATGGCAGAGGATACCGTCATCTCAGTAAACTTGTTATTTCTGGAAACCCTCTCTAGCTATGGCACAGTTGCTCGCTGTTTGTATAGCAAGTTGAGATTATCTTCTGTTTCTGCAGTGTGGCACTATAATCTTTTTTTTTAATTAGCAAAGATGTCGCTAATTGAGCTTCGAGGACCCGGGATCTGATTTGTATCCAAGCAGAAGAGTCCCATATGCAGTCATGTCCCTCTGACACATGTCGTTCCTGTCTCCACCCAGAGCGTGCTTCTTCCTCACTTACCTTTGTCACAGTCAGCACTTAATTTACACAATCTCTAGTCCAGAACTCCGTCCTCTGTGAGATTTTTTTCTATTACTATTATTTGCTACATACTTGTGGTTTTAGAAACCGGTGACTATGATGGATGCAGAAACCAGCACCAGGAAGATCCCTGCCTGCCTGCGGGTGACAGGAGGAGACAGAGAAGGGCAGTGTGGTGTAATATGGAGGCCACAGTCTCCCCAAGCTTCTCATCACAGTATTGTCAGCTAATACATATAAACAGGCTGCACTGCTGCAAATTCTTGCTGAGTGAGCACTGGCTTCCTTGCCTGTGTTTTCCTTCTTCCCCACTTTACTTTTTGACATGCCTTTCCTCTGCTTATGCCTCAGCTGGCACTGCCTTCGGTCCTCCCTTTCTCATTTGCCTGTGATGCCATGATATAGCTTGTTGCCTCTGTGTGTTCAGCTGTGCTCCTCTTCTGATTGATTTCCCTCCCCTCCGCCTGTCACACAGTTTGGCAGCAGCACTTTCCCTGGAAAATTGTTAGCAAATACAGAAACCACGGTGGGGACTCTCAGCATCGGTGGGACTAGTCACTGCCAAGGAGCCACCACAGGCGGCCAGGAGGCTGTAGCATTTGCCGTGGTGCAGCCTGACAGCACTGTGCAGTGCATGCCCTGGCACAGCCTGAGCCAGTGTATGGGCAAGCACAGTTACCAGTGCAGGGGCTGCCTTACCAGGTCCCAGTTTTACATGGTCACCTTTGGCCAA